GACGCACCAAATCAACATTATCCTGATGTAATAATTATCCATTATCTATGTTAATTAACATTACAATATAGTAATATTACTCTATAACCAACATCTCCATTATTATCCATTATCCTCATCAAATCGAAACAGTAATAATCATTATTCACCATGATGATGGGTTTTGAACCATTTCCCCAAGTACTACTGTACTAGTTAGTTATTCCTCATACTGCGCACACACACATTTATTTGTATAATTTAATATCATATATATATATATATAAATAGATATAGATACCATCGCCATCACATATCCTCCATTATTGGTTACTCATGTGGCGATTGGTTCCAATTATTGGTTACATGAATTTCCGTTGGATCACCTTTTGGGGAAGAAAAATCATGGGCTAGCAATAATTGTTTGGTGGGAATACTCTCCAAAAATCATGGTTTATCCAATAGAATTCACCATAGAAATCATTCGCAATATTTTCGACTATTCCGAAAAAAATTGGCCGAGTAACTCCCAAAAAGATAGACATTTTACATGAATCAATGTTCGACTGGGAATTGCATCTGTGATCCCCAGTATTGTTTCAATGACCGCAAGTTTCAGCTGTTTTCAGGATAGTGAATTACTACAATTCAGCCAGAAAGATTAGACTTCTATTTCTATAAGAACCTGTGCTCCATATTTAAGCAGCCATTTTGGGGGTATACACACCATTTTCAGACAAACCATAAACTGATTTTCATAAACTGATATAAATAAACCAAAAATGGTGTGTATCATATCTTCATTACCCTAATTAAATTTTATATGGATTTATATCTTCTATATCTCCATAAACTGATTTTCAGCTTCCAACCAGATTCATCGGCGCCGGCCGATGAGAGGTGACCATAAGCACCATGAAAACTTCCGAGGAGAAGGCGGAAGCGCGGGTTGCGGGGTGTGTCTCAATGGGATGTTTAGAACACAGCAACATGGTAGGGATATTTGATGGGATATCATGAGGATAACCAATTGTGACAATGATATTTTTTAGCTATTTTGAATGATGATATGATGGGATACAATGGGAAGTATTTGATCTCCAAGTCTTATAGTTATCTGAAATATCTACAATAGCCAGGACGGATTATGGAAATTGACCAACAAACACAACTGGGAGCCTTCCTGCACCAAGAAAACTTTCATCCATCATCCGTCTAGGGGGATGATGATTTTTAGTGCCCACATGGCTCTGATGGATTTTAAATTGGAAACTCAAACTTTGGGAGGTTTAGACTTTGGAAGGTTTCAAACAAGTCACAGGTTCAGAAGTACTTGATTCGGACTTTATAGCAGTCGCTGGCAGGAATGGATTTGGAGTGATTTAAGCAAGATGTCTGGTTGGTGGTTTGGAACATGAATTTTATTTTTTCCACATATTGGGAATTTCATAATCCCAACTGACGAACCCATATTTTTCAGAGGGGTAGGTATACCACCAACCAGATGTGTTCAACTATCAGGACACATTGAAGTTGGAACCCCCAGCTACCCTCCTCTATCACTTCATCAGGGTCAGAGGATTTCTTTCCAAAGTACCTGTTTTTTTTCAGAACATGGCGTGCTCCAAATTTATTTGCGAGAAATTAGGGTATCCTCAACAATATATCAACATATATCAACAATATATCATCGCACATAAATTAGACAGATTGATACTTGGACAGATTTTACACGACTATCCTCAACAATATATCAACAATATATCAACACTACATAAATGTTCTGATATTCACCATAAGACGGCTTGGTTGATATCCATAAAAAGATGTCCAATTTTGCCAGATATTCCCTATATACCCATAGCCCCCAGAAGTGTTGTGAAATCGGTCTCGACTCAGGGTGAAGTCTTAGGACGCGAAGAAATCCAGCTGCTGGGCGTATCCAGCTGATTTGGGGGTTTCCATAGTGAAGTTAGCCCAAAATGGTTGGTTTATGATGGAACATCCGCAAAGAACATGAATGATTTAGGGGTACCACCATTGCAGGAAACCGACTAAAATGGGGAGACTATGGAAGTCTAGAGCAAATTGGAGCAAATTAACCATCAAAAAAGGGGCATCAATGAGAATCAATTGGAAGTACCAGCCATAGAGTTTTTGCTGGTTCAAACTCATCTTTCTTTTCCAGTCTTTTCAACCATATTTCGGTGTTGAGGATCCCAGTTTTTCGGAAGATCTTTTGGGAAGGGTGGGTCAACCACCAATGGTAAATCATTGGATTCTATATATGGGGATTTCGTAAAATGGGGGTGGCCCAATAGCTGGATGGTTTATAATGGACAATCCAGCTATACCATTATATATATATACATATACATATAATTATACATATAATTTAATTATACATATAATTTAATTATACATATAATTATACATAATATATATATAATTATATATATATATTACTGTATATCAATATATTATATATACGCTATACCCACCATCACATCATGAATCTGGGCGACTGATATTGACCAGTGCCGCTAGTGGTCTCACAACAACGGTGTCCACAAGAAGGCCCCCATCCAGCAGATCAATCCCAGCCTAGTCATAAAGCAAGCTTATGGTGGATATGTCTATAATTGTATTCTGTGATATTAGAATATGTATGTACTTAATATCGAACATATCCACCATATTAATAAAGCATATATTAAATCTATTCTGTGATATGGTATGTTCGATATGAGATTTATGCTTAATATCGAACATGGTATGTATGTACTTAATATCCACGATTACGTGTGCCATAGCCACCATAAGTAGATCCATAGACATATAATTCATCGCACTTAATAGATCCAGCATATTTACCCTCTGGTAAACTAACATAAGTATGGAAAATCACAATTTTTAATGGGAAAACTCACTATAAATTGCCATTTTCAATAGCTATGTCAAATTACCAGAGGGTATCTTTATTCCTTAATATCGCATTTTTTCTTTTCCTTCCATGTGCCATATCTATACTTACTGAATCTTACTGATGCTAAACCTAGGAAATGTGGGAACGGTTTTGGATTGGTTTTGGTTCCGATATATTCCGATCATTCCCCCATTCCCTACGTTTAGCATTCTCAAAACCACCGTAACCATCAATAAATCAGCATTAATGGTTATGAATGGTTATTAATGATGGAATATAATATGATACATACTTATTATGATACATACTTATATGATCTTATATGACAAACAAACAATTTTTATAAACCAGCACTTTTCCAATGGTTATGGTATGGTTTTCCAAAACACTTGAGGCCCAAAAGTCGGTGAAAGTTTCCACCCAGTGCCTTATGCGCTTCGGTCGATGCGCCGTTGCGCGACCCGCACGACCCAGGACCTTTAGCTCCGAAGAGAATGATGTGCTGCAACTGACCTCCACAGGTGAACTGGATGCAGTTTCTGCCATGGCTTCCAGTTCGCTATGTAACAAATAACCATGTATATATATATATACCCTCTGGTAAATTAACATAGACCCTGAAAATCACCAATTTTTAGAGGAAACTAATCTTCCAACCCATATCTACCAGGGTCTATGTTAATTTACTGGAGGGTATATACATGTATGATATATATATATAGGTATTACACTAACATATCGATATATTATATATTATACGTATGTAAAGATTATGCATCTAATCATATAGTTATATTTATATTCACAAGTATGTATGTATATTGTAGAAATAGAAATAGACATAGTTTGCGAAAGGGATGTAGGCGCTAGGTCACCTGTACATAAGGCATGTATTCACCATCGGATATTTGCATACTACATACACTTATATTTGCCACACTATGTATGTATATGCACTTTACCCTCTGGTAAACAAACATAGCTATTGAACATGGTGATTCATAGTGGATTTGCCCATTCAAAATGGTGGATCTTCCATAGTTATGTTAGTTTACCAGAGGGTATGTTGATATATGTTGATATATGTTGATACATGTTGATAACACTAAGATAATAAACTGAAAAATAATTGGACAAAGCATTGATATGCACTTTATATACACACACATTTTGTTTCCCCTATCATATCTCCTGTGGTATGCCAGTTTCCGCGTTTCCGCGCTAGGGGATGTGGTGGTGCAGTCCATGGAGGAATCCTGGGACTTCCTGCAACTTGCACCGGTGGATGAGGCGAAAGCATCGATTTTTTTTCCACATTTAGTTATTTCCATGAAATGGCCATAGAAATAGTGGATTTACCCATGAATAGCATGGTGATTTTCCGTAGTTACGTTGGTTTACCAGAGGGTAGTTATACTGTATAAGAGGGTACTGTTTTTGAGATATGGAGGTTTCCTAAGTCATGGGGGCATCCCCAGTCATAACCCATTTTTATCATTTTTGTTCGGGATTTTCCATGAAATAAACCATCTAGCGAGCTTGGGGTAGCTCCATTTCAGGAAACCTCCATATATTGCACTGGTTGGTGGGTTGGAATCCCAACTGACTTTCATATGTTCAGAGGGGTTGAAACCACCAACCAGTGCTACGTAGTTTACCCTGAGGTATCAGAATGAAAATAGATGTAGGGCATTCCCGGAATTGATGTATTGGAATCTGATAAAGTATAGGGAATGAAAAGAAAGAGTTCCATAGAATTTGGGACATGGCCACTGACACCAAGGGACAACCATCAACTCGGAGATGCCCGTGGATTTGAATATGTCAAGCCTTGTCCAACGATTGAAGGTTTCCCTTAATCGAACCAAAGGAACCAATGCGACAATGCGACGGCAGTCGTTTGGGATTGAAATTTCGGGACCTCACCATGGTTAAACGAGGTTTTTTTCGTTGCAATGCTGGGCTATTGGAAGGTTCGCCATGTTTTTTTTCCACTAAGGTGGTTCAACACAACTGCGTCAAACGTGGATGGAAAACACATGGAGATTTTGGGATGGAAAAACCTAGCCTAGCTTAGCTACATCAATGCTTTGTCCAATTATTTTTCAATTGATTATATTCTGGTTGGTGGTTTCAACCATTTTTATTTTGCATAATATATGAGATAATCCTTCCCATTGACTAATATTTTTCAAAAGCCCGGGCTCAGGAACCTTCCAGAGGTAGGGCGGCTCTGACTAATCCTGAGGTGAGTTGTGCCGTGGCCGTTTGCAATGGGGCCCATCTTCATACCTGGATCATGGAACATGCTGACTATGGGGCAAAGAATCCCGGTTGTTTTCACAGTCATTTGTAGAGATGTTGAAGCTGGAAAACATTTAGCATTTTCATGTGATCGACCAGGACATCGGTTTTGGATCAATGGTGTGCTCCCTGAGGGTAGGGTTCTGTCTGGCATTGGTTTGGAGGTGACATCACTATCCCCCACCACCTTGAGCATGGGTGAAAAGGCCTGGGTTCACGCACTGCCTGACTGCGATTTCCACTCGTCCTCCAGTGTGATTGAAGTCTGTTCAGGTTTGGGTGGATTTTCCAAGGAAGCTGCAAGGTTAGGGTTGAAAGTCCTGTGTGGGGTTGATTGGAACAAAGCTTGGTCGCCCCTGTTCTCTGCACTGCATGATGGAGCGTCCTTGGTGGTTGGGGATCTGTCTGACTTGCATGTTGCGTCTAGCCTTGCAGCCAAAGGGGGTTTTTATGCAACTTTGCTTTCAGGGATAGCATGTCAGCCACACTCCAAGCTTGGAGACAAAGGCGGGATGTCAGACTGCCGTGCAGAGTCATTGCCCAAGACTTTGAACTTGGCCTGGAATTTGCAGTGTCCAATTGTGGTGTTGGAATGTGTCCCAGAGATTCAAGGTGACTCCGAGGTTCAGCAGTTGCTTAGACAATTTGCCCTTGCCACTGGATACCGGATATCCCAACAAGTTCTCAGCCTTCAGAATGGGTGGTGCAACCGTAGGTCACGTTGGTTTTGTGTGCTCACTGCACCCCTGCTTGGTCTTTGCGAGTTGAAGGACTTCCCAGTGTTTGATCAGTTTCGTCGAGTGCAAGATGTCATGCCAGGTATCCGTCATTGGCCTGAAGTAGATCATGCTCAAATTGACCTCAACTTGTATGAGCTTTCCAAGTTTTATGCATATGCTTCTGGGGGGATTGAAAACTTGTTTTTGCGCCTTGGAGAAGCATGTCCGACTTTGCTTCACTCAGCAGGAAACCAGCTCTATGCCTGTGCTTGCGGTTGTAGGGGAGCCTTGTCTGAACAGCGCATCAGCTCACGTGGTCTCTTTGGAGTGCTTGTCCCACTTGCAACTTCGCAGGTACACATGCAAAGGGTCATGCAGCATTGTCGCTACCTGCACCCGCAGGAGATGTGGGCATTGCTTGGGGGAATCCCAGGCATTGATGTTGGTCTCAACCTCCGATTGGCCATGGCAGGCATAGGACAGGCAGTGTCGCCTATGATTGGTCTATGGGTCTTGTCTCAGGTCAAACGACATGTGGATGTTTTCTATGGTCTTGCACAACCCTGTCAGCCAGATCAAGTCCTTGACGCATACATGAAGGAGCTGATTGTCACATGCCGGAATTGGTGGCCAGAACCGATTCCTCCCACTGTCCCAGCCACAGCCGAGCCAGAAGATCCCATTGAAGACATTCGTCCGTCAATCCGAGTCCAAGTCCGTTGGTTGTCCGACATGTCTGTCCCTGTGTCCGTTGCCTGCCCAGAAGGAACCACAGGTCATGAACTTTTGGAAGCTGAACAGATCCTCACAGGTACAGCAGCTGAGTTGATGCTGTGGCAAAATGCAAAGGCATTGGACTTAAGCCAGCCTCTGTCAGATGGTGTTGAGATTGGAGTCGCTCCACTTGGGTTTGAAGCGCCGTGCAGTTCCAGTCTTGCTGTGCCATGTTGTCTGTCCCCTAGTGATGTTTTGGCCGAGTGTCATGAGCAGCCAGGCAGGGATTGGAATGTATATGCGGTCACGTCCATGGACCAACTGCTGACAAAAAGGGCGTCTCAGATGACCAAGATTGAGCGGGAAGCCATCCTGAGCTTGCAAGGACCAGTTTGGGGAGATGATGAGCTTTTGGTAGGCCTCCAGGGTATCGCACAACATACAGATCAGGATCAGCATGTCTTGGTTTGGGATCCCCTTCTTCTCACAGGGTTGGTTCTGTCCCCCAATGATCAAACATGGGCAAAGTTGTGTGCTACGCTTGGTGCAGTTGCCACAATCCTTACAGCAGTCATGGTTGATCATCACTGGTATCCTCTGGTGTGGCGTATGGACTCAGCAGTTGTCAGGCTTTTCACTTGCGGTGTTGTCCCAGCCCATGTCGAGGTGTTTGAAACCTTGGCTACCAAGGTTGGTAGCTTTCGAGGGGTTGAAGGCCAGTGGTGCAACAAGCTTGTCTCATTCGTTCTGTCTGGACATTGTGGAGCTCTTGTGTTGTCATTTGCCAAGCACCTGCTTTGGGGTGAGTCTTTTCCGTCATCACAGGTTGAGTTGGAATGCATTGCCAAGCAGCTGCGGCAGGATTTTGCGTCTGGTCTGTCTGAAATGTGTTTCCGTCCTCAGTTGGCAGCCCTTGGACTTTCCGTGGTTGACCAACTTGCTGCGTTGCTCAGTGAACATGGGGTTGAGGCAGGGGAGTCAATTGCACGTGCAAAAGATGTGATTCAACACTTGGGGGATTCGCATGTCAGCAAGGCCTTGCAGGCAAACAATGCATGGAGGGAACTCAAATGGCTGGCCAATCAGATGAGACCACCGCTGGTGTTGATCAAGCCATCCGAACTCCAGCGGGCTATTGAAAAACGAGGCGGGACCTACCAAGTAGGCAATAAGCGCCACAAAAGAGCCAAGGGACAGGGGAAGGGGAAGCATTTGCCCAGCCTAGATGCTACCATGTTGCGCTTAGAGCCTGGCCTTTTCCAGGATCAGCAAGATCAAGACTTGAGCCAAGTCGCAGTCGCCAGCATTGGTCCACAGGTTTCAGGTGTAGTGGTGCTCAACCAAGTCATGGCGGAGCCCTACTTGAAAGCCAACAGATGTATGTCTGCAGGTGCCTTGGGTCTTTTTGTTGTCGATGCCACCGTCCCATCCGCCACCACGTTGCCTGTGTCACCAGCCCGTGTCCCTTTGATGTGCACAGCCAATTCCGAGCCGTTGCTAGTTGATGGACTTCTGTATCAGTTGGGTGCACAACATGTGAAGCGCTCTATGCCAAGGGCAGGATGTACAGTGCAAGCAGTAGCAACATGTGTCGTAAAAGCATTGGTTTTTCGTGACATGACTGATGAGAGTTGGCAGCAGGTCTGTGCACACCCTTTGAGGCATATCTTCAGCAAGGTCAGCCCTTTGCTACCATGTGAAGATGATGAGTGCCCGGGTTGCGAAGCATGGCACCAAACTATGCAGTATCCAGTTGTCTCGCCTGTCTTGGAAGCATGGGGAAAACAATGGATGAAGCTCAATTACCAGTATTGCCCTTCTGACCAGGCCGATGTTTTTGGGGTTCATCTGCGATTGCCTGAGGTGCTGCAATGTCAGGTCCAAGCCTTCAGTGGTTTTCAGGGTGTCTTTCTGGAGCCTCGGTCATTGGACGGCAAGAAGCCTTCCGATCAGTTTCAGGTGATTTGGATGGCTAAGACCGACATCTCTCAGCTCATGATGCAGCGCCAGTCCATTCCAGCAATTTGCGGACTTGCCAGGATGGGTTCGAAATTGGGATTGCGTTGTCAGATTTCTAATGCAGCCGAAGTGTATGCCAAGGTCAAGCCAGGCCAGACCTACCTGCCTTCTGGTGACAAGCATTCGTACCTAGTGGGGCCTTTCCCTTTTGGAACTTTGAAGTCATCAGTCGCCCATGCTTTCGCACAGAGCGGATGGGTGGCCAGGCCTGTCCAGCCAGTTGGAACACATGATCACTTGCAAGGGTTGATGTACAGGGTTCACGCAGTGTCAGCACCTCCTTCGAAAGTGCTGCACATGACACATGGTGATGTTGTGGTGACACAAGAGGGGCTTCCTCCCAACAATGCGCCACTGGTTCCTAAAGTGCTTGCATCACCGGCCACTGTAGCTATGGTCACCAAGGACCAAGAGGTTGATCATTTGCAGCTTCATGACCCATGGGCACCAGCAATCAAAGGACACAAAGCAGGTCCAGTGCCAATTCAGATAGGCAACCCTATCGAAGATATGGAGCAGCGGGTGGTAGCAGCAGTGTTGGCTAAGATGCCTGTCAAGGGTATGGAGGTGGATCAGGATGACAGCCAGCCCGACCGGGTTAGCAAGTTGGAACAGCAAATGCAGGAGCTCCATCATCACACACAGAATTTGGGTCACACAGTGCAGCAGCATCATGCCGAACACTCTCAGCAACTGCAGGAAGTTCAGACACAGCTTCAGCAGCAGCATTCGCAGTTTGATGCCGCCATCCAAGCACAGGCCTGCCAAATCCAGGGTTTTCAGGACACCTTCCAAGAGCAGTTCCGACAGCAGGTTCATCATCAGCAGTCAATGTTAGATGGAATGTTCCAAAAACAGATGAACCAATTTGAAAGCCTGCTCACCAAGCGTGCGAGGCAGGAGTGATGGTGCCCAGTCACACAGCTGACTACCATGGGTGATTGGGTTAAATCGGTTGGTGGTCACCTTGGCCTTTTTGGCCCAGAAGTGCTCTTCTTTTTGGTGTTTGCCCTCGTTGGACTTGGTGGGCTTTTGGCCATTTGGATTGCAGGCCACTCCTGTCTTTGTGCCGTGGGGGTGTTTTCTGAAAGGGTTCCACAGGGGACTAAGGTAGCAACACAGATGTGCAGGGACACGCTGCTCTCTCAGCCAAATGAGGACGTCCCGCGGATGGCATCTTGGGTTTCACATCTTTTTGGCCATTTTGGCGTTTTTGCAATTTTGGAGCTTCTCTGTCTTTGCGATGCAGTGCCGAATGCTGGGGGTTGCCCAGAGGGTGATGCTGGTAGGGATGGTAGAGCTTGGACTTTGCGCATGGAGCATGACAAGAATGGGCTCAGCTACAAGGCTTGGTTCTACAGTGAGAGCGCCACACAGGGCCTAGGAAGTTTGATGGGAGCTGGTTTGGATTGCATAGCAGGGGCAGTTCAGCAAGTCTCTAACATCAAGTGTGCCTTGCGTAGTGGACTTACTCACAATGTAGGAGCACAGACACAGTCGGAATTGCCTCAACATGTTCACCAGGTTGGATGTGGTTTGGTATCACAGGGTGCACTGTGTCTTTGGGTCGGGTATCTGGTTTGTCCCTTGTCGCAAGTGTTGGTGAGCCACGTTGGACTTCCCTTTTGGCTCTTGGCCTTCTGGATTGCCGGCCACGCATTGCAGATGTTAGGTTTGGTAATCACCCTGGGGACACTTCAGAGACCGTTCCGGGGTCAGCTTCTCAGTGGCTTAGCAGAATGGGAAGGAGCACCAGTGCACAAGTGCCATGCGGATGCCCATACAAAGGGCTTTTCATTTTTTGGCCATTTTGGCCACCTTTCAGTTTTGGACTCCAATTGCTTGCACCTTGGTCAGCAGCGACCTAGCCATGAGAAGGGGAATGCTAAGTTGGATGCTAGGCCCACTGCCAAACCTGCCCCACCCAGGGATTTGCCTGGCCATCGATGGTCGGCTCTGCAACGTAGGGGTAGCTTCAGTTGGTTGTTCTGGTTTTGTATCTTGGGCGGTCTTTTTCGTTTTGGTGAAGCGGCTCACCCGGGGCCTGCTCCAGTGTCGGACACATGGACTTTTGGACTTGCCAATGCGTCAGGCCTAACTACGAAAGTGGACCAGGTTGCACACCAAGAGGGCCAAGCATGGGTCTTCTCTGAGACACATCTCTCCAAGCAGGGTTATCGGTCTTTCAAAAAAGGTCTCCAGTGTCTGAAGACCAAATGGAAATACTTGATACCAGGTGCACCATGTCCAGTCAGGAAGACCGGCCAGGCAGGAGTTCACTCAGGTGTTTTGCTTGTTTCCTCTTACCCAGCCAGAGCACTGCCGCATAGTTTTGACTCCGAAAGCTTTGCAACCGGCCGCATGCAAGTGGCGGGAATGATGGTTGGTTCAGATTGGGTCACTGTAGGGATGCTGTATGGGGTTCCGTGCAATGCCACGCATCATTTTGCAAGGTATCAGACAGAAACAATGTTGGCTGACCTTATAGATCGAGTGGCATGTCAAGCTTCAGGTCCCAGAATCATTGGAGGTGATTTCAATTATGCCACCCATGAACTCAGTCAGGTGCAAAGGCTCCAGGAATATGGTTTTCGTGAAGTGCAGGACCTTTGGGCATGGAAAACAGGGGTTTCAGTCAGTCCAACCGGCAGAGGCACTAAACGGATTGACCAGCTGTGGATTTCTCCAGAGCTTCAAGTGGTGTTGGAAGAGGTATAGCATGGGACAAATGGGCGGATCATGCCACCGTGGAGGCTACCTTCAAGATGCATGGTAAGCAACAGGTTAGCCAGGTATGGCGGCAGCCACAACCATTTCCTTGGCCCACCAACTGGGATTGCCAGCTGGATTTTGATATTACTGCAGACTCCACCATGGCCTATGCACAATTTTGGCAGCAACTTGAAACACAGGCCCAGTGCTGGAATGCGCAGCAGGGTAAATACATATCCAGGGCCCAGTGCGGGAGGGCACAAACACTTGCCACTCAGACCCGGAAATGGCAGGGGTCACCACCGAAATTGGGGAGGGAAGGGGAAGTTCAGCCCAAATACTTTGGCATCAGTCTGCAGCATGCAAGGTACTTTCGCCAGCTCAGGCGGTTGCAAGCGCTCACACAGCTTTTGAAGAAAGGCCTTGCTTCGGATAATGCCATCACCAATGCCCAGGAGACATGGCGGGCAATCAGGGGTGCAGCGGGCTTTCCGGGGGGGTTTGTACACTGGTGGGCTCAGCATGGACTTGGATTTACGCTGGCCTCACCGTTGCAGTTGCCCTATTTTTTGCCGGCGCTGGAGGTGGTTGAGTCTCTGTTTGAGGGTTTCCACAGTTTTGTCAAAGCCTATGAAGGGCGCCTTGCCCAACGAAGGTACCAGTATGGTACTGAGCGCCGCAGAGAAGATATGAATCTGGTTTTTCAAGACTGCAAAGCAGAGCCACCCCCAGTAGTTGACACACTCCTGGACAGGGTTGAGGTTGCGGTTGAAGAGGTGAGACCAGAGGATAGCTCGGTAGTTTTGGTGCGCCCAGTTGAGTTGTTGCATGGACTTCCCGTAGTGATTCATGGACATGCTCATGAGGTGTTGGTACACGAGCATGATCAGGTGTGGCTGTCTTCAGTGGAAGGGCTGGCTCCAGGACATGTTTTAACTCAGGAAAGGGTTGTCATGACGGATGCTGCAGTTTTGGATCGCTTCCGACAGACCTGGGAGCCTAGGTGGAACAAGCCTTCTCATGTAGCGCCAGGCCAGTAGGATCAGATCTGTGGTTTCATCGAGCGTGTGTTGCGACCTCAGCAGTGGCCTGACACACCATGGACTTCCTCCAGGTTTATGGACTTGGTTACTCATAAAAAAGTAGTATCCGCCAAGGGACCGGATGGAGTTTCCCAGCCGGATTTGGCTGCACTGCCCCCGACAGCTCAACAAGCAATGGTCAAGCTTTTCAATGCGGTGGAGCAAGGTATGCCATGGCCTGCACAGGTGGCCTCAGGGTTTGTAGCCAGCTTAGCAAAGAATCCAGGAGCTCAATCGGTAGATGAATATAGGCCTGTCACAGTCTATAGTCTCTTGTACAGAGTTTGGTCGTCTGCCAGGGCCAAAGAAGCACTGCGAGTTTTGGCTGAAATCGTCCCACAGAGCGTCCAGGGTGGCCTCCCAGCAAGGCAAGCTAGGGCAGTTTGGTATACCACGGCACAAGTTTTGGAATCAGCCTTGGTAGATGCGGTTCCTTTGCATGGCATCCTGATGGACATCAGACGGTGCTTCAATGCCATACCTAGGTATCCACTTTGGTTTGCGTTGCGGGTGCTTGGATTTCCCACGGGGGTCTTGCGTGCTTGGGTTGCGTTTGTGTCCGGTCAGACCAGAAGATTCAAGGTGCGTCTCTCTACGGGGGAGCCAGTCTTTTCTGTGTGTGGACTACCAGAGGGTTGTGCGCTGTCTGTTTTTGGAATGGTCATCATCGATTGGATTTTGGATCTTTGGCTGAATGCAACACAGCCAGGCATTGGACTTCATGCATTCATCGATGATTGGGGGGTTTTGTTCTCATCACATGACCAATTCCAAGCAGTATGGCAGGCAGTCTTGGATTTTACTTCTGCCCTTGACCTTGAACTGGACTTTCGTAAAACCAAGGTTTGGAGTACCCAATCATTGGCGCGGCACACCTTCCGCCAGAGGAGTCTCCAGGTCACACTCGCAGCTAGGAACTTGGGTGCCCACCAAAACTTTTCCAAGCATTCCTGGAATTCCACCCTTCAGGCAAGACTCCGCACTATGCCAGACATATGGACAAGGCTTCGAGCAAGCCTCTCACCATACAGAACCAAACTGCAAGCAGTCAGAATGCTCGCTTGGCCCAGAGCATTGCATGGAATCTCCGTGGTTCATTTGGGTCACTCACACTTCAAGACCCTGAGGGCAGGGGTCATGAAAGCCCTCAATGCTAACCGTAAAGGGGCAAACCCGATGCTCCACATGGCCAGTAATTCGCTGGAAACAGACCCTGAAGCCTGGTCTATTCTTCAGACGTTGCGAGATGCCCGGGAGCTAGGTGGTTTTGACAAGGTAGATGCCATGCTTTCCGTTTTTGCCTCGGCAGACTTGGACTTACCTGCCAATGGTCCTACAGCCGTCTTGTTAGCCAGGGTGCGTAGACTTGGTTGGGCGGTTGGTACAAATGGGTTGGTTCAAGATCGGTATGGAGTGTTCAGTGTCATGCAGGTAGGATGGGATGAGTTGTATCAAAGGGTTGCCATGTCTTGGGGCCATGTCATGGGACAGGAAGTTGCACACAGAGCGTCGTTTCAAGGCATTGAAATGGCAGACCCTCAGGCAGTCACCAGTGCACTGGCTCACTTTGGCACAGCAGATCAGGTCTATCTCAGGTGTCACTTAGATGGTACGCTCTACACGCAGAATGGCCGGGCTCATTTCATGTCTGAGGTCAGTGGTCAATGCCCCTGGTGCACAAGCAAGGATGGTTTTTTCCATAGGGCTTGGACTTGTCCCTTCTTTGCCGACTGCAGGACCCACATGACTGCGGAACAGCTTGCACAAATCCCAGTCTTGCCACAATGTTTAACCTCTCATGGTTGGGCTGTCCTACTGCCAGAATGGGAGGTCTATGCCAGGTGGTTGGTGCAGGATCATGGTTTTTCATGCATGTCCCCCATAAATCAGTGCCAGACAGACCCCTCCCATACGGTTGAGTTATTTGTGGATGGAACAGCAGCAAACCCACAGGAACCGAAACTGAGGTATGCAGCATGGGCAGTCACGGTGGCTCAACTTGGCAGTTTGAACAATCAGGTCGTCCTAGGGGGTCATGTGCAGGGCCTCAGTCAAACGCCCTTTCGGGCTGAACTTTCGGCAGTGTTGGCGGCGCTCCTTTGGGCTAAAGAACAGGCACAGAAAGTACGCATTTGGACCGATTGCTTGGGCGTCCTGCGTGGAGTGAACAAAGTGAAACGAGGTGTTCCAGTGCGTGTGAACCGTGCGCACTCCGATCTCTGGTTGCGCATCCAAGGCTTGTTTGAAGAAGGCCACTTGGACAATGTTCAGATGATGAAGGTTGTCTCTCACTGCAGTATCGACAAGGCTACATCACCGGTGGAAGAATGGGCTTATTGGCATAATGAGCTTACAGACCGAGCAGCGGCCAAGATCAACGACACCAGGGAACCGGTTTTTTGGGAAACGTGGAAGGGCTTGGCTAGCGCTTTGCAGGTGAACAGACAACTGCACAATGCGATCCTTATGGTTCTACTGAAGACGGGTCGGAAGGCTCACATGGCAGAACAACAAAAGGGCACGATGCCTGCACCCAAACCTAGGCCACTACCAGTCGGCTTGGCACAGCAACCTGCAGCACCTGTTTTTTGGACGTTTCCTGAGCGAATGGTTCGTCGTTATCGACAACACAATGTTCAGATGGTTCATGACTGGTGGAGCCAAGTTGGCAGTAGATACATGGAGGGAGATGCCCCACTGACGATGGTCAGCGGAGTCCAGCTGTTTTGGGATTTTTTCCAGGCCACAGCCTACGAAGGACCGTGGGTGCACCAAAAGAAGTGGTATCACCAGGCACAACAGGTGCCGGAAGCTGGTAGGGTTTCATGGGGACAACGAATCAAACCTTTTTTGTTGTTGTGGAAAGCCTATCTTGGTTGCCATTCGGTGAAACTACCTCAAAAAATGACTCGTCCCAATTCTGCAGCCATTTCCTTGTTTTTGGTTTGTTACCGTTTACGTTTTCCCCCAGAAAGAATTGCCCTGTGTGATGCGGCGATCTTCGAGCAGCTGGGCCGTCAAGCGGCTTGCTCGGCTGACATCCAGGAGCTGAGGCCGGCAAGGCACCGGTAGTGCGAGCAAACAGAGGGGGCAACGGGGTCGCAAGGCTGCCCACTTGCTCTGCAATAAAGTGCAATAAAGTGTAATATTTTTCAAAATGGTTAAAACCACCAACCAGTATTAGTTTTATCAACATATATCAACATACCCTTTGGTAAACTTTTACATAGCAAACTGGAAAATCCACGATTTTTAGTGGGTAAATCCACTATTTCTATGGCCATTTTCAACAGCAAACTGTTAGTTTACCAGAGGATATATAAACTATTTTTGTGGTTTCAACCTGTTCGTTCTGATGATATCCCCATCATTCCCCATCGGCGCTGAGAGACCGCGGAGAGGCGGTGTATGGCTACTGCCACGAAGTCTGCGCGATTATGGCCTTCGATCGTCAGGCGGGGGAAGGAGTCCCCTGAGGTTAATTGTATAGTTATGTATATGTATACTTATATATAATTATAGTTATATATAATTATGGCAGCTATAATATGTATATATACCATCTGGTTATTTAACATAGCCATGGAAAATCCCAACCATAAATGGAGGTTTCGTTCGCTGGGAAAATCATCTATTTCTATGGGCCATCTATAAATAACTAGAGGATAATATAATTGTATTAGTATGTCAATGTATGGATAATATGTTAAGGTAACCATACATTAACCATTAATAATGGCAATATTGATTTTTCAGTTGATGTATGGTTAATATTTATTTTTCCACTGATTAATAATGGTAAGAGTTGATAATAGTGGTTCATGACGGTGAACAATGGCAAAAAATGGTGCTTGAATGGGATTTAAATGGGATTCTATTGGGATTTCAAAATGATTAGTGATGGTAAATGGTGGTTCATGATGATTTTATGGTGATTACTCGAACTAGCTCTTGGTAATCAAACATGGCCGGAAAATCCCAAACTAGCCATGGAGGTTTTTCTGGGAACAGCATCGAAGTAAACAAACTGGGGATTTCCTGCTTGAATTCTTTATTCAAACATCAATTAGTGCCTGGTTGGTGGTGACTGGAACCATGGACTTTATGACTTTCCATGTTGGGAATGAATCATCATCCCAACTGACGAACTCCATTGATAACCATATATATTCATAATCCCAATGATATTCATTAAGCATATATATATATATATTCCATATATCAACATAATCTATCAATTATTGGATCCCAATCATATCCCAATCATATCAATTTCAGAGGGGTTGGTGGCTCAACCACCAACCAGGTGCCCTTAAGGTGATTCTTTTCGACGAAAAGTAGATGCCAGGTGGATGTAGCTGGATTGAAGATGTTTTCTTGCCTGAAACGAGCCACACAGTTGACAATTATATATAGTACAATATTGTACTGTGTACCATATTGTACTAATATTTTCTGTACCAGTACAATCATGGTTTATTTCCATATTTAAATATACCCCGCCAGTTATGGAAATAAACCATTTCTCGAGGAATGGGGACGATATATGTGTGTATATATAAATATCACATTATTTATCCCAGTCTGGGGGGATACTTACCTCCAGTTCCAAAGAAACATACAATTTTCGGAAATCATTCCAGCAGGTGTTGCTCTGTTCAAAGTGATCAAGCTGCACCGGCGTGAGTTCATCAAGAAAACAACACCTAAAGAAAGTCAGTTGAACTGTGTTCTGTTCATCCCTGGTTGATGAAAACATAGTATGCTGCCCTAGATGTCATTGTTATACTACATAGCTTGTTCTTCACGGGATTACCGACTCAATGAGATGAAACCCACTGAACCAAGCTCAACCTTCACGGATGACGGGTGAACTGGGGCGTAAGATGACTGCAACCCTCTGACATCACATTCCAAGATCATGTGTTGCAAATAGCCCCATTAATGGAGGTTTCCATAGTCATGGGTGTACCCTCTGGTAAACTAACGTAGCTAGAGAAAATCACAATTTTTAATGGGTAACTCAACTATAACTGGTCATTTTCAATAGCAAACTGTGAAATTACCACCATTATGAAAATGGGTAAATCAACGAACTTTCTATGGCCATGGCTTCAAGAGCAAACTGTTAAATTACCAGAGGGTAACCCCAGTCATCATCCATTTTCAGATTGGGATTTTCCATGAACTAAACCATCCAGCTCTGGCAGGCTACAGGGCTGGTGGAGGAGTGTGCAGATGGCAGCACCAAAAGCTACAACCAACAAGACATGATGGAAGAGACCTACTGGACAGCCGTGGTTTGGGGACTGGGACTGTTTGAGTCATCCGAGTTTTGGGGATTTCATGGGACTTCATGGGATTGGGATCGGCCGGCTGCTTTGAATGGCCCGTTATTTGTTGAAGAAATACACATCATTTCAGCACTATGCATATCTATGCACATCTATTCACAATTTCTAGTCTAGGCATCCAGAAAGGGGAATATTGTACCATCTGCTTATGACTAACAGTTTGCCATGGAAAGATCCACCATTTTCAATAGGTAAACCCAGGTAAACCATCTATTTCGATTAGGGCAATCTATACCATGGCTATGTTAGTCATAGCCAGAGGGTAATGTCAGAAAGAAGCTGATTGCTAAGGCAGAGGTCATCAGGTATATTTCTCCAGAGCTTTTTGATTTGGAGATGACACAAGTTCTTGGTGCTTGAAGCAGACTTTTGCAGCTTAAATCTGTTTGTCAAATCCCCATGTTCAGTACCATATTGTATTCTGCAACTGGTTTGTGGTTTCAAACATTTTTTTATTTTTCCATGTCATATATGGGTTGTCATCCTTCCCATTGACGAACTCTTATTTTTCAGAGGGGTAGGTCAACCACCAACCAGGCAATGTTTGGTGCTTCAATCGAACTTTTTTTGATGATTCAAATGCGACGCATTTCACCATGATCACCATGGCGAATCGCAGGAGTGTCACCTCGGGCAAGGCCTGCCGTTGGCATTCCAGCGACGGTCGGGAGCTCAGTGCACGGAATGCTTGGGGATTTGGGGTCGAAGATCAACCAATTCTGGGGGATGTAGTAGTTAATTACCATCTGGTTATGACTAACATAGCCATGGTATAGATGGCCCATAGAAATAGATGGTTTACCTGGGTTTACCTATTGAAAATCGTGGAACTTTCCATGGAATGGTAAACTGTTAGTCATAACCAGAGGGTAATAGGTATGTACCCTCTGGTAAACTAACATAGCTAGTGAACATGGCCATAGAAATAGTTGATTTACCCAGCTACAAAATGGTGGATCTTTCCATGGTTATGTTAGTTTACCAGAGGGTAATAATCTAATGGGTATGCTATTTGGTCGGTGGTTTGGAACATTTTGTATTTTTACATATATTGGGAATAATAATCCCAACTGACTTTCATATTTTTCAGAGGGGTTGAAACCAGCAACCAGCTATCAATAGGTATACTATGTGAATTATTTAGATGTATTTAATCTAATGGCTATACTATGGTATAGGCAATTTTAAATGGAGATATTGGGGGAACCCCCATGTTTGTTCGGGAAGTTTTGATATTTCACGGCTTTTTTGTTGGGGTACCATCCAGTAAACATACAGCAAACTATGGAATTCCATGGGTTTCTTGAAATTGCGATGCCCCAAAACACGTTCCCTTCCAACCCCGGGTTCGCCCACACTCAATCAACACATCCAAACAATATGATATATATATATATATATATATCACCAAAGGATGCATGAAAACACTGGCTATACGCAGCAATTTTGACTTTAAGTTTTCAGGGTTTAGGGTTTCAATTTAGGGTTAGGGTTTTAGGTTTTAATAAGGTTTTAGGGTCTGTTGTTTTGGAAAGTAAAAAATAAAACCCTACGCAGGGGTTTGAGCATGTCAAAGGATATGCGGGATTGGACGCGGGCAAACCTAGGGTTTGCAGCGAACGTGTTTAAACACATTGAGCACCCCAATTTCGAGAAACATGCAAAACAGATAGTTTTGGGACTCCAATGGGTTGCTTCCCGCACAACTCCCACAAGAACCTCCCATGTTTTCACCAAAACAATCCGAGGGGGGTTTCACTCAAATGTATTCGGCTGATTTATATAGTAGTCCTGATCAATGAATCTCCACAACAGGGTTATCTTGCTGATAACTGCTCCCGAATTGTTGCTCTTGAGATCCCGATTTGTCTTATATAAATCAGCTGAAACGAACCCAAATTTGTGAGGTGAAGTGCCCCAAATTTCACCCGTTTCGCTCAACTTCATTGTTTATTGATTTCCATGTTTGATACCTGCTCAAAATCATTTTCTTGCTAGGAAACACATGGAAAAACAATGGATGGAATCAATCTATTGATCCAAATCCATCAAACTCCCTTTTTTTTCGGGAAAACCCCCAGCACAACGTGTTTTTCCGCCGACGTTTTTCCACGTCTCCAGCGTTTTTACGGCGTCTCCACGGCTTCGGTGAAGGCTCCTTGATTGCCGGTACCTCCCGCGGCGACGCCGAGCACCGAGCGTCCATCTCCTTCCTGCCCGTGGCGTACTTTCAGGCCATATAGGGATCCGATGTTCAACTGCCAAGCCCGGATGAACCATGGTTTATTAAGTTGGGGGTACTCCTCCAATAGTCATAGTCACAGGGGTTTTTCTTAATCCAGGGTTGACATGATTTTCAAGTGATTCAACACGGGCCAATGGGGATTTCAGCAATTCCAACCATGATTTCCAGTGGGAATTCTCGAAGATCCAACTGCCCCGAGACATGAAACTAAAAGAACTGAGGACTGCTGAGATCATCCAGTTTTTCCCTGTTTATTCCCTATTTTTTTCCAAGAAAAACCGGGAAATCCACCAACCTCAACCAAGCGATTTCGGATATTTCGGATTTCACATGTCGAAATGTCGAGATGTCGATGTGTTGGGTGAGGACACCACGCCCTTCCCCATGACCTTGACGTCGGTGAAGATCATTGGTTCGCAAAGCACCAGCTGCCAGGTGGGACGCCCCTTGCTGAAAAATCCTCCAGAATTTGGAGATTTCTTTGATGTTTTTTTTCTTTTAAGGATGATTTCATGGGGCATAAACACTATTAACGATGCAATTCATGAACATGATATATGATATATGATGTATGACATATAATATATGATATATATATACAGATTTATGTTCTAGCCCTAGGTTGTCTTTCCCCTTATGCCAGAGGTGTGTGGATGTTACTGTACGAGCCTGTTGTCGTAAGCTATCCAACAATTTGATATCATTGATAGGTCATGCCCCAAGATGAGGGACCCCAAATTATCCAAACTGCCGTTTTTGGAATGGGGAAAACCAATGGTTGAGGGCTTCCCCAATTCTTGGAAGCTTTACGAAACCAAATGGTGAAAATCGGTGTGATAGAGGGAACATCTCAATTTCTACTGCAATATTTTTCATAGTATGAGTGGTAGGGGTCTGGAAAATTTTGAAAACGGCACCCCACAATCCAACACCCTATCACTCATACTATTAAACAGTTTTAACAACAGTTTTAACAACCATTTTAAACAACAGTTTTATCACCCATCACCCAAAGGTATCCAACAGTTTTAACAACCATTTCTTCCTGTTGGCCTCCTTTTTCAGGCTTTCGCAGAGATTGATGCAGTCTCAGCAAGTTCTGGTAGCCTCAACTTGAAGATTTTGGAGAATTTCCATGTTCAATCAAAAACAGCCGGGGTACTGGAACTTGCAATGATAGGCAATTTCTCAATTTCTCACACATTCTTCAAAACTTACATCTGGTTGGTGGTTTGGAACATGAATTTTATTTTCCATACTATATGGGATAATCCTTCCCATTGACTTTCATATTTTTCAAGATGGTTAAAACCACCAACCAGTTACAGGTTCATATACCTACCCCTAAACATTCCATATTTCTGCTGGGTTCTTCCAGGTTGATAGGGACTTTTTCATAGATTCTTTTGAACACCTTCAGGTACCAAAAAACGACGTGTTGTGCTATGTCAGGAAATACTTTGGGGTAATGTTCCCTTAAAAAGTGGTCTTGCAAGATCTTACATTGGATATCATTGGATAATTGCTCCTTGACATGTTCCTTGATTTACTATGACTGTAGTGGGGAAGTATTGGCGATATCATATTGTTGGAAAAATCAAACATTGTACACGTGCTTTTCAGGTACAGTGACAATTTTTTGCACTTTCAAACAGCCTTTTTTCGCTGTGCGAAATCGCACGATGATTTTCCTCTTAAAACTATCAGGATTTGTTGGCTTTCCCCTGCAAGTCCTTCATGTTTGAAACTTTCCACTGGTTGGTGGTTTGGAACATGAATTTTATGACTTTCCATTCAGTTGGGAATTTCACAACCCCAACTGACGAACTAACTCCATGGTTTTTCAGAGGGGTAGGGCGAAAAACCACCAACCAGCTAAGTAACTAAGTATGATCATCAATGGGATGAATTGCACCATATTAAACCATACAATCACCAAATATCGTGTATTTCCACTGGTTGATTTTGCCGTTCGAAACAAAGCCTGTCATTTTAAGGGGAAATGGTCCATGGAAATCCGCCAAAATGTCCGATTCGCCAGGTGGATGGCGGTAAGAGCTTCACGTTGCAGGGCAGTGGATCAGCGCTTTGGATCGCTATCTTGAGATTTACTCATCACTATAGTCACATATATATATAGGGATTACCCGGCCTGGTAAACGTTAACATTTTGCGAACTGGAAAGATCCACCTAAAAAAGTGGGTAAATCAACTATTTCAATGGCAATTTTCAATAGCAAACTGTTAAATTACCAGAGGGTAGATGTTTATACGTGGGATTAATCAATTGTTAGTGATTTAGATTACAGTGGTCAATAGATCTATTATAGTGGGGCTATTGTTAGTGAAAGTGATTTACCCATTTGTTTGATTCGCCCCATCCTGTGTACTTAATAGAGAGATGTGATTTGAATGTACGACTCATGGGTAAAGCTAATCAAATGACAATGATTGTGATTGCTTAAACTATAATTATGTGATTTGTTTTAAGATAATAGCTAACTATCGTAACATTGGGATTTACCAATCCAACACTGGCATTTAACCAGCAAAAAATGACCATTGTTTGATGACTACCAAAGATTGACTATCTAAACATTGAACGTTCAAAGATTGCCAAATTGCAATGGTAGTAAACTACTCTTGAATCCCAATACCAAGTAAATCACCCGTTCAAATCTATGCTATTTACTACCAAGTAAATCTTTGACTACCAAACATTGACTACCAAACAGTTTAACCTTTCGAAACAGCGGTGATGTTTAAATCCCTGTGCCTTGATGAATCGACCGAAGCGCGACCACCCAAAAACAAAAAAAAACGGGCTGCAACGGGGGAAAATCCCTGGGATGAAGACACAAAGATAGGTCCCTCCGTGTTTTCAAGGATTCAGAGGAGTTACCCTCTGGTGAACGTTTACATAGCAATGGAAAGATCCACCATTTTTAATGGGAAAATCCACTATAAATGGCCATTTTCAATTGCTATGTTAGTTCACCAGAGGGTATTCATAGATGTTGGGCAGTGTACAACGCTTTATTTTGGTGTTTTTTTGAGGATGAAATGCTTTTTTGCAGGACATTGTCGGCAATTTTTGCATATCTTTACCTTACAAGTACCAAATTGTCCAAGTTGTCCAACTATTGCTGGTTGGTGGTTTCAATCATTTTTTTTTCCATAGTATATGGGATAATCCTTCCCATTGACGAACTCCATCATTTTTCAAGATGGTGAAATAGCACCACCAACCAGATATAGATAGATAGATGTAGCCAGTATTATATACTATGATTTATATATTTAATATATACCACCAGTATTGTTATATACCACCAACCAGTATTTTTGTTCCTTGCTGTGTTGGACAAACATCGTCTTTCTGGGCCTCCGGTGCCGAATTTTTAAAGGCTCCAACTGGAGGAATAGCTCCAACTGTCGTGTGAAAGAAGCCACATATTTTTTTTACCAATGGCAACCATATCTGGGTAAATTATAACGAGCTCACTGCGAGCTCACTGGAAATCATAGTTAGTAAGGGAAATCATCCCCAAATGGCCTTAATTCAGGTTAGTGAATTATTATAATTTGCCCAGACCATATACTTCACCGTGTAATATCGTCTAACTATTATTGAGTAGGACTATAAGAATAATCATTCTAGTTCAGCTTTTGATACACCATATCGAGCAGGTTTGTCCAACCGTATTTTTTCCAGCACGTTGTGACATTTTTTTGGAATTCGCAATCTAATTACCCCCGTGGAATTTCCACAGTTTGCTGTGGAAAACTCAGTATTTGTTTCACAGCTACAAGGCAGGGTTTCCAGTTATAAGTTGGTTAACCCCATGCATAGTAAAGACAGTATAGTTATATCAACTCACTATGCTTTATAAATCCCATGAATAGTATAGTTATATTTTCATAGTACTATAGTTATATTTTCCCCTATAGATTTATGATGCACTATATTTTCACACTTCTTATGAATAGTATAAATCCCACTATATGATGCACTATAGTTATATTTTCCCCTACAGTAATCAACCATAGAATTCACCGAGAACTCTACGTCAACCCGTTGCGATCTCGTCATTTCGGGGGCCTCAGGTCTATTCTGCGGAGCTCCCTGAAGTGGCAGCCAAATCGCATGTGGTCTGCGACCAGGGGGCCGCTTGGCAGGAGATTATATGAGTATGGGTCAATACCTATGAAAATACAATTTTTAGTGGGATGAACATCCATAAATCCCAGCTATTTTGATGTGAACAGAAGGGGTACTGTACAAGGTTTTGACACACTGCCATATAGGTTCACCAGTTGTTTTGGTGGAGAAATAATAAATATCAATAACCATCAATACTTGGGCTTGTAAAGATATCGCATGATTGGGTATTGATACATCAATAGCCACCAATATTTCAGATATCAGTTGTGATATCAATACTTGGGTATCACATTTGTATCACAACATGTTTTTTTGGGTAACAAGCCATCGTTTTTAAGTGGGATTTAACCGTAAGAAATTCATGGAAGTTGATTTAACATCAACGTGATGATGAAAAATCCAATGGGGATTTGGGTCCATCATTGGATTTGGTTGACGGATGACCTGCTGGAAATCATTGATGGATTATCGAAACCAGCGGGAAAACCAACTACTGAATGTATATATATATAGTGTATATATGTATACATAGTGTATACATACATATATTATATGTATATATATATATATCATATATTATAATATAAATTTGTACCTAGCCATAATACTATAGTATCTGATTTCACTTGTATGATGCCTATTTCCTCTCGGATCACCTGCCCCTTTTGATTGGGACCAGGTGATGGTCTTTGGACTGGATCCAGGCGGGACAGCACCGCACGCGGGTTTTGTTTGTAGGACATCTATAAATTGGTGGATTAATGGTGGATTAATGGTGGATGAATGGTTTAATAACACCAAATTCATAGCAATTTTTATTGGTGGATGAATTTCACTTAAGTTTTCTGGAGATGAATTTCAGTAGACGCATGCTTTTGCTAGAATTTTTCAACGATGTTTTGCTTGGCTCAACTACAGACTTAAATCAATCTGGGGGTTTCCTCGGTTCTGGACAGACTCGCATGTGTTTGAAAATGGTGTCATTCGCCAGTGGATTTGGGGGGACCGTTCAGCCAAAGCCATTTCAATCTGTGGATGTTACCCTCTGGTAATTTAACGTATTGAAAATGGCCATTTATAGTGAGTTTTCCCATTAAAAATGGTGATTTTCCATAGTTATGTTAGTTTACCAGAGGGTAGATTTCATCATATTTCCATCATATTCCCATCATATACCCATTATATACACATGATATTCCCATCATATACCCATTGCCAAAGGAAGTTTAGAAGTCTATACTTCCCTGTTACAGAGTTTCAAAAGCCACTGCAATGTTTGTCGACAGCACTGATTGTCACAGCAATGGTTGTCACTGCAATGAAGTCACTGCAATGATTGTAAATTGCACTGATGGTCACAGCGATGATTGTCACTGCAGTGATGGACACTTCAGTGATTGTCACTGCAATGATTGTCACTACTATGAAAATGATGATTGTCTCTGCAATGAGTGTCAATACAGTGATTGCAACTTGAAGTTTCGGTTTTTGAAGGAAGTCTCGCATGAAAGCTTGATTTTTACATCTTAAAGTTGTAGTTTTTGAGGGAAGTCTCGCACGAAAGCTTCGCTTTCACATCTTCAACTTTCAGTTTTTGAGGGAAGTCTCGCACGAAAGCTTCGTTTTCACAAGTTGAAGTTTGCAGTTCAATTGCGACAAAGTTGCGGCAATGAGTTTGTGCAGTTTTAAACGTTTTTTGGTGCCTTTCATTTTCCATTTAGAATTCCTTTTAAAAAGCTTCAAAAATCGCACTTTTTGTGGCTTTGGCGCCGAGACCCAGTTTTGGAGCAGGGTTTGGCCAGGAGAAGCTTCTGTCTTGCCAACGTTATGATGGCGCCCAAGGTGGGGGCCAAGCAAAAGAAGAAGGCTAAAGCCAAAGCCAAGGCCAAGGCCAGAGCCAAAGGATGTCTTCAGGAGGAGGCGCCCAAGGGGAGCAGTTTGAAGAACCCGAGGAGCAAAGAGGCATAAAGAGGCTGGAGGAACAGAGGCTGGAAGGGCAAAGGCAGAGCCAAAGGAGAGCCTCAAAAAGAGGGGCGAGGAAGGGAAAGAGCCCGCAAAAAACAGCCGCAACAGAAGGCTGGGCAGTACTGTTGCTAGTTGTATTGCTGCCCTTATTACCACAGGCACCACTATTCTTACTAGTATTGCCGTTCCTGCAACTACTGCTACTGCTACTACTATTACTACTACTACTACTACTATTATTACTACTAAGTGACTACTACTAAGTGACTACTACTAAGTGACTACTACTAAGTGCCTACTACTAAGTGACTACTGCTACTGCTGCTGCTGCTACTGCTACTACTACTACTACTACTACTACTACTACTACTAGTACTAGTACTAGTACTAGTACTAGTACTAGTACTACTAGTATTACTATGGCAGTGTTTTCACGTGAAGATTTTGAGCGAACAGTCTGAAAGAAGACGTTCCCATGAAATGTGGGCTCAAGATAATAAGTGTCGGTGCTGCAATGAAGTTCGAAAGCCTCCTGCTAGCCACATTCTTGCAGCTTGTCCAGGTAGGAATCAAAAGCGGGATTCAGGAATCATCAGGAGAACTGAATCAGATCGAAACTTCCACTGTCGTATCCTGCCATTGTGATTGCCATTGCTATCCAAAACTCCTTCCCTTTGATCTCTCTGCTCTTGAGCTTGGAATTGGGCTGATATCTTTGCTTTGCCTCATCTGTCTTCCCTTCTCCATTCGAGTGGATACTTCCCAGCAGATAGATCCTAGCCCTCGACGGCGTGGACATGGAGTCATTGTCTCAGCTCGTGCATGGTCAGACCTTAGCTGTGTATTACAGTGACGACAATGTATGGCATGAGCGCCTTGCTTTGTGGAAGCAATCTGGCACACACTGGATGATATACACACCTGATTCCGATAGGTACGTAGAAGATCTTAGTGGCACAGATCCCGACGGTCCCAATAGGGTCAAGGTGAAAGGCGTTGACTTCAAGTATTGGTCACGAGTGGGAGGTTCAGCCTACAGATTTCGGTCTTTTCCCTCTGAAGCTGACTTTAGAATGCTGCTTAAAGACTCCTTCCGCGAGCTCTCCAAGGAGGTGGTTGACTTTGACCGGGATTGGAGGCCCAGTAGCATCATGGACATGAAGGGCCAGACCCATGCGGCAGAAGACTTCCTGGGAGGCCTGTTGACCACTCATCGCATTACCTGCAAGGGTGGTGGAGTCCTCACGTCTGATCCTCTGAGCCCTGAAGATGCCCGTCACAAACAGCAGAAGATGATTCGCGATTTTGTGCCGGCAGATCTGCCGCCCGTGGGCAAAGAATGGACATCCCTGGAAAGCAGTGCTCCATACCAAAGAGGTGAGGTGCTTACTATTGATGCCAAAAAGGATGTCATGAACGGCGACCTGGCCCTCATTCAGACTGAGTCTGGGTGGTTGGTTGCCCGGCTTATGACCCAGACGGAGCGTGACAACATGCTGCAAGATTCCAAGCAGGCGGCTTCTTCCTCTCATGCCCCAGAAGCACCAGCTCCTACAGCAGAAGACAAAGAAGCAGATATAGGCTCGGATGCCCGCACTCTCTTCATTGACTATAATGAGCAGAATTGCCGATACAAGGAGTGGCGCAAGGTGGTGATGGAGAGCCGTGACTACAACTACAGCGACTGGCCCCATCAAGGACCTAGCACAGTGCTACATCTCCTGACACACATGCATTGCTTTGGCGGTGATCCCCGTCAGTGGTTGCAGCTCTGGGCTCGCCAGAAAGGCGTGTATGAGAGTGACCGGGTCATGCATGAGCTCCGTTGCCTCACCGGCATTTTCTACCATGGCGGCACCTTTGACCAGCTCAACATGCCCGTGCTCAGCTCTATGGAGGTGGCTGCTCGCCGTATTCAGTCCATTGTTGAGGCCTATTCAGCTGGTCCGCCTGGTGCTTCAGATTGGTCCAACTCCAAACTCTTCACTGGGTATGTTGGTCCAGATGATCTGGTTTCTCCATCACTCCGCAGCTGGGCGGTGCGCCGTGGGAAAGAATAAGTTGAAATTTCCCAAGCCAGAAGCAAGATGAGAGAATTGAAGAAAGCGGCTGCAGCATCTGTCTCCGATGAGGCTGCATTAGCTGTGGCTGAGGGCAGTGCACCATCAGGCGCCTCCACCAAGCGACGGGCCCGTGGCCGTGGCAGAGGGTTGGAGGCGCCGGGGAGCCCATGAGCTTGGGAACGGCCGCTCCTGATTTGGGCCCAGAGTCCGGCCGAGACAACTGCATGATTGGCCCGCAACGGATCTTTCCGTTACCTCTGGTGGAGATGCCAACAGCCCGTCAGACTTTTGGACGGCGTCAAGCACAGGGGCAGTCTTTGAGGAGGAGAATTCATTTTGAGATGAACGAGAGACTCCGTTCACTGAATTGGATGCATGGTTTCAGCAGCCCGGACTCTTCACCCGGGCGTCCCAATCAGATCCAAGGAGAAGTGCTGGGACATGTCCGAAGGCTTGTTGAGGATGCTGGAAATTTGGGTGACCTTTCACACCCGCCATCGATGGAGGCAGCTCTTGGCAGTTTGCTCCAAGGGAGGACGGATTATTTTGAACCTTCCTCTCCAGTTTCACTCGCGCACTACAACCTCGAGCTCATCTCGCTGCCTAGTTCTCTTAAAGGAGCTCCTCGTGCTGAGGACTTGCTAGGAGCAGATGACCTTCGATATTTGAAGGAGCAAGAGCGCATAATCCGTGCAGAGCCCCACAAAGATGTCCATGTTAGTCCTTACTGGGATCCGGCCTTGAAGTATAACCAGAGAAATTATCGAAGGTTTTTGCAGAAGCTGAATGACATATCCTATCTTGATTTCACTTTGGAACCCTCCGACCATGCGGGAGTTTTCTTTGTGTGGAAGTCCGACAAGAAACGGATTCGCATGATCATCGATGGCCGTTCTGCAAATATGCGATTTCATGATCCACCTTCAGTTTCTTTGAGCACAGCAGAAACTTTCAGCAAGATTGAGATTGATATTCCTGAGGAGCTGGTCCACGACCACGTCCAGAAGGAAGCTTTCTTGGATAGCATCCGCATTTATGCAGGGCTCTCAGATGTCAAGGATTGTTTCCATAGGATCCGACAGCCTCGGTGGCTAGCAAAGTTTTTCTGTTTCATGCCCATTGAAGCCAGACACCTCAATTTAACGGGTACAGTTTTGGAAGGGAAAACGCTGTCCAGCAAAGACCTGGTATATCCAATGCCGGGTTCTCTGTGTATGGGTTGCTCATGGTCACTTTTCTTCGCCCAAAAGATCAACGAGCGTCAGTTTTCGCTGTCTCCGCAGCTAGGAAGTTCCCGATTGATTAGTGATCGTTCTCCTCCTTTGGTTATTAATCCTTTTGATCCTGACATGCTTCACCACTATGTATACGTAGATAATTTGGGTGTCATTGGGCAAAACCAAGAACTTGTTCACCAGGTAGTCCAGGCAATGCAGGATCATTTCAACAGCAAGGATTTGTCGTTGCATCCAGGTGAAGTGCAGTGTGATGACATCAAAGCTTTGGGTATTCATTTGGATGGGAGAAACAAACGAACGAGGGTGGCACGCGAACGGCTCCACAAGGTCAGACAAGCCCTGCGTTGCCTACTCCATCGAGGACGGTGCTCTGGCAAGGTGCTTGAAATTGTGATAGGGCATGCCACCTTTTGTGGCCTTGGCTCTGTCAGTCTTCCATTCCTCTTACAAATTTATTCAACAGCATTACAATTCTCCAGCAGTTATTTGGGATTCCGTCCTTCAAGAATTGCGTGTTTTTGCAGGTCTCATGGTTTTCTTGGAACACAACTGGGGAAAGGGCTGGAACCAGTTGGTTTCAACTTCAGATGCTAGCGAAACTGGCTTTGGTGTGTGTACAGCGTTTTGGCCTACTGCGGAGGTCGCAGCAGCTGGCCGCATCAACGAGCGAAGCCGTTTTCGGAGGACTGCCGGGCATTCGGCCAGAGAATCTGCCCTCACTTCAGCTGGTTTTGTTCGTGATGAAGTTTCAGGTAAATGGGTTGTCAACGAAATAGACAGTGCAGAATTTTTAGACAAAGCAGGGTGGGAAGTCGACCCATGTTTTTCTGAGATTCCTGCTAAACTACTATCTCGTGATCTCTGGACCCCCAAAGTTTCTGGCACATGGAAGTATTCAGCGCACATTATGGAGCTGGAAGCAAGAGCTTTGGTAAAGTCTTTAGAGCGCATCTGCCATTCTAGGTTTGGGCATGACAACCATCAACTTTTACTCACTGATTCTTTGTCCATGGCTTTGGCATTTGACCCAGCACGGTCTCGCAGTTACAGAGTCTTACAACAGATCCGGCGGTTGGCAGCTCTGGCTCTATCCCGTAATGTCAGTCCTCATGTTCGTTGGGTGCCGTCAGAGTTAAACTCGGCCGATGAGCCCAGCCGAACGACAGCAGCTGACAAGTCAAAAAAATTGATAGATTTGATCCCAACAGCGCATGTCCAAGCGCCGCCGGGTCTTGGAAGCTCCTCAAGACCAGCAGCAGCAGCTGCGCTCAACCCGGCGTCGCACTCTGCTGCCAGGCGAGGTGAAACCAGAGCCCCGCAGGAAATCAATGAGCAGGGTTTTGCCTGCGGCCAACCTGTCAACGCGGCTGAACAGCACGCCTCTGAAGCAAGAGTGGGCAGCCCTAGACCAATCTCACCTGCCCTTCCCTGTGGCTTCAAAACGCAAGAGGTCCAACAGCTCGGACTCGAGCTCCAGCAGTTCAGACCCTCCGGCAGTGAAGAAGATGCAAGCGAACCTGATTCGGAGACGGCGGCGTCGCCTTGCACTCTATGTCACAGAGATTTTGGAGGCCAAGTCTCAGGGGTTGGCTCTTCTGGAAAAGAAAGCAGTTCAGGCCAAAACAGAGGCATACTATACCAAGGAATACACAGAGTTCATGTCGTTTGTGAAAGAGAGTCGGCTCACTGTGGGTTCTGCAGCTTCAATGGATTCGGCACTTTGCCAGTACATGACTTCACAGTTTCTGGCGGGCCACCCTTCACACAAGGGGGACAAGCTGGTGGCTGCTGTTTGCCATAGCCATGCGCAGTTCAGCAAGCACGGGCCACAGTCCCTCCCCCGCACAATTCGTGCCATGAAAGGGTGGAGGCGTTTGGCCCCAGGTCAGTCTCGCAAGGCTTGGCCTCTTGCAGTTTGGAGCGCGGTGGCTATGGAAATGGTGCGCGTGCATCAGGTGCGCATGGCGCTGTTCACTTTGACAGCTCTTGCCAGCTACGCACGCCCCTCAGAACTATTAGCTTGCAAAGTTTTTTGCCTGGTCCAGCCGACAGCTCAAGTCACGGACCATTGGGCTATCCTTCTGTGCGCCCAGGAAATGGCACACCCTTCAAAGACTGGGGAGTACGACGACTCAGTTCTTTTGGACAACCCCTACCTCCTGCCTTGGGCCAAGCACTTGTTCAAGGAGCTCAAGACTCAACCCAAAGACCAGCCCCTGTGGGATTTCGGATACTCCGACCATTTCCATGTCTTTACCCAGGTGAGCCGGTGAGCAAGAGACTGTCATTGACGGTGACGCCGTACCAACTGCGGCACTCCGGGCCTTCAATCGACCGTGCCCGCAACTTGAGAAGCTTGCTGGAAGTTCAGAAACGTGGCAGATGGAAAAGCCAGAAGAGCGTGACCAGATACGAGAAATCTGCACGGCTGGCTGCCAACTTCCAAGAGCTACCTTTGCAAGTTCAACGCCACTGCCTGCACGCCGAAAGTCTTCTCGCGGATGTGATGTTGGGCCGAGCCACGCCCGTGACCCCGCCTTGATTCGGCGAAAGCACTTTCGCAAGTATGTGGCAGATTTGTTTGCTGGCACTGGTGGGGTTGCTCATCAGGTGCGGCGGCTTGGATTTTCAGCAAAAGAATGGGATGTGCAAAGGGGTCCTGACTTTGACCTCACCTCTCCCACGGTTGTGCACCGTTTGTTGAAAGACATTCGAAATGGCAGAGTTTTGGCTGTCATGATGTCTCCTCCAAATGCCAGTCTTTCACCTGCCAGAGATCGTCAGAGAGCCATCCGGTCCAAACGTTTCCCTTGGGGCCTTCCACAACGATTTTTGACGCCAGAAGATCGCAGAAAAGTTACAAGTGAGAATGCCTGCCTTAGAACATGTTTCTCTCTCATATCTATTTTGCAGCAACACAAGATACCTTGGATCTTTGCACAGCCAGCTAGCTCTAAAGTTTGGTTTTTCCCAGAGATGCAAGAATTACAGCAGCACCCTCAATGCCATTCAATGACGACAGATCTCTGCCAATTCAGAACTATGTGGCGGAAACCAATCACCTTATTGTTTGGAAATTTGGACTCGCAGGACACTGCGCGGCTGCTGCGCTCTTGCACTGGGCTCCGAGGCCGCTGCTCTCGCACTGACCAGGCCCACTTTCAACTCACGGGGTGGCACCACTCAGGAGTCCGGTGGTCTCAAGTTGCTCAATCTTTTCCTTTAGAGTTTTGCAAACATTTGGCCTTTGTTTTAACTGCCCCTTCCCAATAGAACTTCTCCACCAACTGCCCCTTCCCAATAGAACTTCTCCACCCTTAGTCAACATTCTGGCTTCGGAATGATTTGGGACGATTCTTAGTGTTTGTGGAAGCACACCATTTTTTCTTTTCAGAGTGCTGTGGAAATGATGTTTAGCAAGGGGCGGCACTTTGATTTCTTCTGATCTGTAAAGTGCCTACAAGAGATGCGAAACGATGCTTCATCTCCAGCATAGCGCGGAGGCCATGACTGTGCGAGACGAGATTTGAGAAAGTGTGTCCGCAAAAGACTGAGAGCGGTTGAATCGTACTACTAGTAATTTGCTTTTGAAAAACTTTCAAAACCGCACTTTGTGGCTTTGGCGCCGGGCTGCGGTTTTGGAACAGTTTTGGGGAGAGAAGAACTGAGATGATCTGAGAGTAAACTGAGAAGAACTCAGATGAGGTGAGGAGAGCTGACAGGAGTTGAGATAAATTGAGATGATATGAAATGAGATGAGATGGGATGCACAGACTGCGGTGACAATGGGGTGCAACGAACAATGTCCAAGGGAAACTGCAATGCGATGAGGTCAGATGAAATAAGAAAAGGTCCAACCTCGAAAAGAGATGGCACCGGAATGAAAAGCAAAAACATTTGTTGCGAAGGACAGAAGGTCGGCCAGCAACTTAAAGGAACATTTTTGTTCGGCTCTTTAGGCTATAGGCGTTTCATTTTTAAAATTTCCGCCCCCGGCTTGCCCGGGCGCTATTTGTATACCACATTATATATATATATGCAAATCTCTTATTTCTGGTTGTTGAAATCCAACATGAACCCCAGATCCGCAGGTCTGAAGGACACCGTGCAGCTGGTTACGGCGCCGGCGGGGCGTAAGGCAGCCTACACCAAGTTCGGCAGTGGCACGGGGCACCCAGGGAGATCTGGAGTTGAGGGATGAGTTTCAGCAACCAAAATGCAAATTTAAATTACCTAACCATGATCATTGATGCAACGTCGGGATTTCAATGATTGAGACTGAAATATGGGTTTGTTTGAAGATGGTTTTTGCCTTCCCACAAACGCTCATTTTAGCAGGGATGATTTGATTGACCATTGGATAATTTGGATAATTTAAGTGCCCTATTTTTAGGGAAAACCATATGTACCATGGTCAAAAACTTGAGTAAATTCCCCAGTCCTCGGGGTCTTTGGATTGCCTCTGTGGGATAACCAATCATAACCATACCGCATAAACCATGAAATTTGACCATGGCACATCTGAATCACAGGTAGGTGAAGATCCCAAGCCTTCAAGCGGGACTCTTCAGTTCGGCATCGGATTGTCAAGTGGGAGAAACATGGTCAATGGGGGGTACCCATGTATTTCCATTAAAAAAACCATCTCCGATTCAGCCCTTAAGCACCTCCAAAGAAAACCATGGTCAATCCCAGCACCTTAAAAAAATCCCATCTCCCATAAAATTCCCACGGTTCATGTACCTGGAAAACAAAGGATCGGGATGGGTTCATGGGAGCGTCGTTGAATGGGCCGGCAAAACTGGATCCCATCTCCTGGAGCAACATCAGATCAATCCCAGGAAGGCCGATGATAATCTGGGCATCGCAGTCTGGTTGTGATAGCAATCGTTGGATGTCGATATCTCCAGACATTACCTGTTTTGTAACATATAACAAGCTATTGAAGCCATGGCCCAGTCGAAATAGTTGATTTACCCAGCTACAAAATGGTGGATCTTTCCATAAGTTTTTTGTATGTTTACCAGAGGGTAACAGTTCGATGATCCCAACGGATATTTCCCGTGTGACTTCCTAAGCAGGATACCCTCTGGTAATTTAACATAGCTATGGAAAGATCCACCATTTTTAATGGGAAAATCAACTATAAATGGCCATTTTCAATAGCTATTTTGACATAACCAGAGGGTAACTATCAATAGGAAGGTGGACACGGACGACTGAACGAGGTGTTTGTGACGGCAACGAGAAGTTCAACAAGTTCACGTTGGAGGAGGATAGCAGTTGACAAGGGACGACCCAACGGGAAAGATGGGAGATGGGAGATGGGAAGGGTGATTCAGGGGTTGGTAAATGTCCCATGACTTGGGAATATTGGACATCACCTTATACTAGCCATCTAGTAGACCATATACCTAATGGAATCTAATGGTTGGGTGATGTTCAATGGGGACATTTAACAACCCCTGTGGGAAAGGGTGATTTTCGAAAAACACGTGTTTTGAAGATGATGGGGATAGACTCCCCATGGAATATATAGAATCCCCAAGGGAGTGGATAGAATCCCCATGTTCATTTACTTTTCTATATATTTTTTGGGAGGTGATGGGGATGCCAGTCATGATCAGTCATGCTAATGATGGAACAAATTTGAGCTTTTCTGGAAACACAACATGTAAGTCACTCTAATTACTCTAGTGATTTGAGCCACAGATGCCACGACCATTGGTCTTGGGAAAAACCATTGAAATCCACATGTTGCATAGCAAAATCATCGATTCTGTACATGTCTACTTCTTTTCCCACCATGGTTGGTGAATGTTGATGACTACAGAATCACAGGGTACATATCGTCTCCAAAAAACTGAGGCTTCCAGGGTTCAGCAACAGCAACATTTGTTTCTTCCCCCAAACGAGGCCTACAGCGCGTTGCTGATGCGTTGCTGTGATCACAGCCAAAATCGAAATTGGGTGAGGTCTTCGCATCGCAAAATCTCAAAAAAAACCCTTGGTGAACTCTGTTCAGTTCCACTTCGTCCCAGGTTTCAGAGTTCTTACCATGGCATCTTTGTGAAATATGAGCATTGCATAGCAATGACACTGTCTCTTGGTACGCCACGGCCCCATGCTCGGGTGATCATCCATAGGACCTGAAGCCGTGAGAATTCACATCTCTCCATGAAATTGATACAGAGAGTTTGGTGATCTATGATCATCTCCATATATCCTCCATTCATCTCCCATTTTTCCGTTTCTAGAATTTTTCCATGAAATCAATGATAGAACCTCTTTCCCAACAATAAACGTTCTTTTTCCCCCATGTTCAACATCCCCAAAGAGTGCCCCGTTTGGTTCCCCAAAAGCACCACCACGCCATGGACGTTGTCGACTTCGGCAGCCCTTTGCTGCTCTGGGAGCCCAGTGCCCCCGACGCATGCGGTGGCAGCTGGCGCTTCGAAGACGACCGCGAGGGTCGAAGAGTGCTGTCGGTGCGGCCGGCGCCGCAGCGGGATTTTTGGAGCAGCTGGGAGTGTTTCACTGGAGATGTGGGAAGATCATGGATGCACCAAGATATGGTCATTTTTTATGCCATTTTGATATGACAAATGAATACACATGATGATAAAGCATGATAACATAATATGAGACATGGACATTTCTGCAACAAAGATAGTTTTGCAATGTTTTGCACAACTCTGAATGGTAAAACATGTTGTGAATGGCTGGCTCTTGAGTTCCAACCATTTCCAAACTCTTTTTTTTTTTTTTTGCGGGGTTGTGCGGTCTTTAGAGGTGTCGTAGTCTTGGGAATCTTGGGATCCAAGCATTGTGTACCGCGAATCGAGGTAAGACTTTCTACCAGCCCTTGCTGGTGAAACATGATGGCCAGGTTGGGGTGGCCAGTGGTGACATCGATTTTTTTCCGAATGCCTAACATGCCGAACGAAAATATTTTAGGCGTACTGAAAAACACATGACATTGATTGTGGATCATGAAGATGTAAATATATACATGGAATATAATGGAATGATAAAAGTAGATAGATGTGTAGTGAAACACTTTTCAAAACTCTGCTGGAAACAGGTTTCAAGGAAAAATCTCCGAGTCATTTGGTTGGATGCCATCCAGTCTGGAATCAGCAGCAACTAAATATCATCAACCTTAGATTCATATTCATCACATGTTTATCATGATTTCTTAGCAACCATAAATTATTTAAAGACTTATCAACATACTTACCATAATATACAATTATGAATATCATCATGCTAATATAGACTCGTTACTAACACATATTGGTTACATGTTGTATAGATAATCTAGTTAGTCACACGTATATAATCATATATACATATATATCACATGTTAATTTACTAATAACATATATATATATATATCACATGTTAATTTACTAATAACATATATATATATATATATATAAGGGACACCTATGTTATACCGGCAGGTCTTGGTATGCCCGGTCTCCGCGAGTGAAGCCACCCTTTCATTGGCCTTCACCTTGACGCCCAAAGCGCAATTCGATCAAGCTGGGGCGGCTTAGTCTCTGGCGATAGCCGGTTTTGATGGTCGCTTTCTGAGGTTTTATGGTGCAGGATGGGGCCCCCAAGATAGCTAAGTTGCCTTATTTTTGTGGCTGAATTCTATGGTTTATGGTGGATATAACTATAGTTATTGGGGTTTGGAAACCAACTTATAAGATCTTATAAGTGGGGGGCACATGGGGGCACCATCCTGTAGTTTAATGGTAATATTATGATATTTTATGGTCGTTTTTATTATTATGGTAGTTTTGGAAAAATCAAAGCAACATGGTCATGAGTGAGTGTGTTACTGTAGCACAACGCCAATAAAAACCTTGGGTGGTTTCAAATGTATCTTATGTTCAAACATACACACTGGGGATTTTGAAGGTAGTTGGGGTGACCTGGTGATGTAGCAGCAATCTGAAACAATCTGACTATGTTTGGAACCTGGCTAAATTGGCTATATCAGGTACGGAATAGCTAAATGGATAAATACCTGACTATATTGATAACCTATTTGGCAATATCAGGTATTTTTTATCTATCCGTGGATGTTTCTTTTGTTCAAATCTTCATGTCATGATCAGTCAAGACTGACGGTTTCTCCAGCGTCTGATCCATAGTTTCTATTCAGTCGGGTCAAAGTCGTACTTCTTACTGTGTAGGGTTAACCAACACTACTTAAACTGGTTGGTGGTTGGGAACCTTTTTTATTTTCAATCATATATGGGATAATCCTTCCCATTGACGAACTCATATTTTTCAAGATGGTTATTGCACCACCAACCAGTATAACTATAACCAATATAACCATTCATAAACCAGCACTTTTCCATACTTTTCCAATGGTTATGGTATGGTTTCTGTTGGTTTAATCCATTGATTAACACTCTGAACACTCGGTTATGATCATTTCTCTGAGATACCCAGCTACATCATAGCGGATGGGACGGGACGGGAAGGGGGTACTTGCCATACCAATGCGAATAGTATCAGTTCATGTGGTTGGTTATATATCCCATAAGATATCCCAAAAGCATCTTATAACATGACAACATGTAAGTATAATCACCTTAAAATCTCCCAGAACAGATTCTTATGGCATATGTATGAATGGACAACATCCTTTTTTCCAGCCTTTTTCCATTCTTTTCCCATGAACATGGAGAATATGGTAGCTCTAGATCCATTGGTTCATCCTCATTTTCTCATCATTTTCCCTATTCTATAGCATTATTTTCATGTTTTTTTTAAATGGCAATTTCCATGGGGTTTCATCATGTTTCATGGTTTTCTATGGTTTAATTCATGGGTTTTGCTTGAAAACATGGGTTTTTCATAGGTTTTTCATAGGTTTTCATCATGTTTCATAGCTTTTCTATGGGTTAATCCATGATTTTTCATCCAAAACCAGCCCCGGAGCTCCCGGGGATCCTCCGGGGATTCCCATTGAGGCCATGGTTCTGGTGGACGAGAACACCTGGGTCAAGGCCGGCATCGAATACTGCGACGCTGTGCCGCGGCTCTCCTGCGTGGTGACCAACGAGGGCTTCTCGGAGCCTCGGGACAACGCCGAACGGAAACGAAACGGTTTTGTGGAGGAAGGACGGCATGACTTTTTGTGGATGTTTTCATGCAGTGTATCATGTGTATAATACAATACATATATAAGATATTATATATATGGTATTATAATATATATATATATTTAGATACAGATATAGAGATGGAATGTTTATTGGAACATTTAGTGGACAAGAGCAACCAGCATGATATGTGGATGTACCCTCCGGTAATCAAACATGGTTAGCGGGAAAATTCACTTTTGATGGATGATTTTCCCATTAGAATCTTCATTTAGAAGGGATTCTCTGTTGTCAGGTTTGATTAGCAGAGGGTATATGTGTATGTATCTATCTAATTCTATATGTGTGTATATAAGCATATATGTTGGATTATGCAACCATATTGAGGCAATGGCTTAACTGTTACCCCGTGTTACAGTTAGCGTACGAAAGTTTGAGGAAAGCATGGGCAGCAATAGTTTTTGGGCACCTCAATTTAAGGCACATCCACCAAGTCTGGTAAGCCTCAATTGGGTTTACCAGCGTTGGTTCCAGGCAATTTTTCCAGGCAGTTTTTCCTGGTCAAACATGGACGGATGCCAACTTCACTGGATCATCTGACATGGGAAAAACGAGAGGTTTTTTTTCTGCGGAAAAATCATTGTCTCATGGCCATGAGATGTTTGGGACATGACCCCATGCCCGATGCCCAACATGGAAATCCATGGAACTCGGCACAAGGATTGGAGCACTCAGTCGTGGAAAGAATGGGATGGCAACTGCACCTCTCTTCGTTTGAGGGTTCACAAGGCGGCCATGTCATGACGTGACGCCATTGGAGTTGTGATGGATGGGTCAATATCGTGGGTAAGCCTTGGTTGAGTAGTTTTCATGATAGTTTATTGAGGTCATTCGTCAAATGGGGAATCTCCTGAATATCTCATACCACCCAGCATGCAGATGAAGCAGCCAGCCATTGGAGCTTTCCAAGAATGGGGACCCCCAATGTCTTTCCAATGTCTTTTCTTGTGGTCTCCAATTCGAAACATGAGGTTTCCAACAGGAAACCAACAAGTCACCAAGTCCCAAACTGGTTGGTGGTTTGGAACATGAATTTTATTTTCCATTTCATATATGGGATAATCCTTCCCATTGACGAACTCATATTTTTCAAGATGGTTATTGCACCACCAAACAGTATAAGATTTATCCATTATTGCTTATGAAATACAACTCATACCATTATTCTTGCTACCTTCGTTGATGATCATTACCCTCTGGTAAACTAACATAGCTATGGAAAATCACAATTTTTTTTAATGGGAAAATCAACTATAAATAGCCATTTTTAATAGCTATGTTATTTTACCAGAGGGTACTCTTGGTTACCACAGAATTTGCCAATGATTTCGACATCTTTTCGGAGAGCCCGCGGAGCCTGCAGGCCGCTGGAGGAGTTTCCGGGAGCCGCCCAGGGCCCTGCGCTGGTGGTCGAGGCGGCTCCTTATCGTCCTGGAGACCAAGCGGAGTCGGAAGGTGCCACAGAGTTCACCATATTTCATCCAGGGGTGATGGCTACCCTCTGGTAAACATACAAAAAGCTATTGAAGCCATGGCCATAGAAATAGTGGATTTATATCTCCATATACCCTCTGGTTATGTCAACATAGCTATTGAAAATGGCCATAGAAATAGTGAATTTTCCCATGAAAAATGGTGGATCTTTCCAGTTCGTTTTTTGTATGTTGACCAGAGGGTAATCATGGTTGATGAAGATGAACCCATGGTGAACTACCATTAACCATATAATGGAATGATCAACCATAAATGATCATTCCATAATTCAATGAATATAATACCATTCTGAACCAGTCAGAATATCATGGAATGATGATGGTTGATGAAGATCACTAACCATGTAGTGATAATCCCATCACCCGGCCCTTTTTTTTACACCCCATAAGCATGGTCCCAATGGAATGTGGAAATTCCCCCAAGAAAAAACACCATGGTTTCGTTGAATGAACGGGTGTTTTTTTTTTTACTAAAAACGGAGGATGGGATTATTTGGTGGGGTTAATTTGGGGTTTATATCCCAACTTCTGGATGTTACTACCATGATAGCAATGTATAACCTCAAGTGTACCAGCAAGGGATTTACTGGCAGCCCATATATGGTGCTTTCCTAAAGATGGGGCTAGCCGCTACCCCAATAGCTGGATGGTTTATAAAAGAAAATCCCAAACAAAAACGGATGGTTTAGGGGTATCCGGGGTATCCCCATTTCAGGAACCCCGTATAATATGTATATATATATATATATTATAACATATATAATAACATATATATATATAGTAATATATATATATATATATCAGTAACCATCTTGATCACCGTTAAATCAATGGCATCTCCCCAACATCCCCAACATCCAGGCCGACTAGGCATCATTAACGGCATCCACTCAGCGCCGATCTCAGGGGACTTCACCTTCATTCGCATTGCGAGCCTTCGCACGGAGAAACCCTGGAAGATGGGCATCTTTTGCTTCGCACCCATGGAACAGCAGGGCTGTGAGGCCAGACACTCTGGACAAAAACCCAGTTGACATTCATTTTGATATCAGATGATGGGGAAAGAAACACAAAGGCTTTCCGGGAAATGTTTGTTTTGCTTGGATTAACTGGATGATGTCGTTGAGTTGAGTGTAGTTGGGACGTGGAGCAAGGCGGATATCATTTTGGATTGGAATGGATGGGTCAGCCTGGCGTGAGGGGAGCCACGAAAAGCACTGGTGCAGCCTTCACCAAGCTTCTGAAGCCTCCTGTAATTATAGCACCCGCCAAAAAGATAGAACAGCTTCAAATTATCACAAAAAATCGGACTTTCGGACTTTTTCGAGTGGCATTCTCCAGTACTTTTCTGTTTTGGCACAATTGGCATAGGTTTCCCCCATTTTTTTTGGGCCTTTTGGGTTTCCCGGCGTTCAGCCCTCCGTGTAGCACCAGGCCACGTTCCACTACCTGAAGCTGGGGCCCAAAGTGGCCTCCAGCCACGATGCCGATGCCTCGAAGATGACCAGCTGAAAGCTACTCCCAGATGTCAAAAAGCAGCATTCAAAAACATCCACCAAAAATGGTCATGATATCCATGATATCCACATCCGGTTAGTGGTTTGGAACATTTTTTTTTAATGACTTTCCATATATTGGGAATTTCATCATCCCAACTGACGAATTCATATTTTTCAAAGGGGTAGGTATACCACCAACCAGTATATATATATATTATATCAATTGATATTTAGCCATATGGGTTACTATTAGTTACCACACAAGTATATACAGTAAATATTACCACAGAAGCCAACTGTGGTATGACATGGATGTAGTATTCACATACCTATGTGGTAACCAATAGTACTGATGATCAACAAAGGTAGCAATAATAGTAATGGTATGAGTTGTATCTCATGAGCAACAATGGATATAATGGAATAAACTTATACATTAGTAGAAACATGTTTGGGAAGTTCCAAAATTCATATTTCTTAATTTTCATGGCCGTTCCCAGTTCAAGGATGATGCTAGTCTCCAATATTTGCAGCTTGAAATCAGGCCGTGAAGATCTGATGAAGTCGTTAGATATGGGGCTTTCTAAAAATTGGGAAACCCAAAATCATGACACATTGGTCATTCTATGTTATTCTTAGATGGAAAAACCCAATGGTTTGGGAGTAGCCTAATTTCAAGAAAGACCCACATTGACATCCATTGAACAGGGATTGTTGATGCAAAAGATCAGCAGTCCAAAACGAAGAGCTGCTGAGTGCGGTTGTGCATTGGTTCAAAAAGGAGCTGGCAGCAAAACGTCCAGATTTGTTGGAACCCCGCAAAAAAACACACAATTGCAGATATGTATAGATGGATATGTAGGATATGACAGATTTTCTTAATGTGGTTTTCCACCATGTACATCCCATTGGTTGGTCAAGTCATCATCCCCAAACGATGGTCCGATGGTTGTTGCCATGCTGGCGGTGAGTTCGGCAGTTTTCAATACTAACCTCTGGCTATTTAACATAGCTATGGAAAATGGTCCATTTATAGAGGGTTTATGATGATTTACCATGATTTACCTATCCAAAATGGTGATTTTCCATGGCTATGTTAGTCATAACCAGATGGTAACATTCTCACCCTGCACCTTCTCCATTCTCTCCACAGGGAATGAGATCACCCTACAGATCCAGATCCTGATATCACCAGAAAACCATTCACCTTTGGGCTGTGACTCCTCCTCCCAGGGAGTTTCAGGGTTCGTCAGACAGGATCTAATGGCGGGAACCAACCCAACTTAGCTTATGAGAATTGATTTCTGGATTCACTTCAGGTTTTGCGAACACCACATATACACCCTTTTCTATTCTGCCCATCTCAGGTTTTTCCATGACATCTACATACATCTACCGTCCAGTAATTTAACATTTAACATAACCATTTTGTAGATGATTTACCACTTATTTCCATGGCCATTCTCCATAGCACAAAGTCACACATTTTCCATCCCCCAAAATCCATCGAACAATCTCATTTCTTCACCCCTCGATCCAATCATATCAATCATCAAAAGCCACTAGTCATCAGAGTCACCCAAAAATCCAAAAAAATCGCCAATCTATGGAACATCCCCCAAAAAATCACCTTCTATGGGGGAAATCGGAAAATCCATCAGAGTCAGCTTCTAAAATCTCGGGTTTTTTCGCCAGTGGATTTCTCCTAACACATCCATGGAGGGAAAAAACCTTGGTGAAATCCCCCATAAAATCACCAAGAAATCCATGGAAAATCCCGGGAAAAATGGGCCAACTGGGCCATCCACTCATCTGTTCACCAGGAGTATCCCACCTTGAGCGAAGAGAAGAACTTGGACTGGAAGCTGATCACCACCCGAGAAGCACCAGGCAGTTGCCGGCAGTTTTTCCGTTGAAGAGGTGAGATTGATGGTAAAAAAAACATGGTAAATAGATGTCAATATACTCAACACATACTCAAAATAGATGTCAATATCTATCCATCTGAAAGTAACCCATGTTTTTTTGAGGCCAACAACTTGTCTTTCAACCTCCTTGTTATTTCTCTTTGGTTTGTCGAGTTTGTGAGGCATTTGCAACGCTGAATCCGTGGATGAGTGCTTCCATTTGTGCTCTGTGGTCAGCGTCACTCGGCACACGGCACACTTGTTCTTCGTCGCGGTGGATGGATTTCCAGATGGGAGGGTGATGTTTTGCAGAACATCACCCTCAAAAAAAGGTTGATTCTGTATATGTTATTGTGATATAACATGGTAATATAATATAATATAATATAGTATAATATAATATAATATAATATAATATATTTTCATATAATATAATATAATATATTTTAATTAATAATATATATATATTATTCAATGGATTGAAGGGATCATTTTTGGCCGGAAACTGTGGAACACCTGTTACTTGGCGCGACGTTTAGATCAAATTTGCCATTGGATTTTTTGGTAATGGATACCCTTTGGAGAAACTTTCACTTTTGACATTTCTATTCCATTTGATAATATATCCCATGAAATATCCCCATTATATGACCCCCTGATACATCCTCAAAAAGCCAATCATAGAATATCATAGGCCAAAAAAAATCACCGAGGAGTGCAAGTTTTTCGCCACCCACTTTGCCGTGAATTGCCAAGCTTGTCTCCTCTTCAAGCACCTCGGACTTTGAGCTTGGCGACAATTCTTCTGGGCAAATTATAACGACCTCACTGTTCTCCCTCACTGGAATCCTGGTTTTAAGGGGAATCATGCCAAAATGGCCCAACATTCAGAGTGAATTATTCTAAATTGCCCAGATTCATTCCGCAACAAGTGGGGATTTAGCCACTCTCAACATGGCTAGAAGCGTCGGTTCACCCTACCCTGCCAACCCAAGTTGCGGGCGAAAGAACCGGTTTCACTCCATTTCAAAATGGGCCTGAAGTTGTAACCAACGATTGCGAACAAGCAAGCATCAGGATGTAACTATATAATATATATAATATATATAATATATATAATATATTTAATATATTTAATATATTTAATATATTTAATATATTTAATATATTTAATATATTTAATATATTTAGTATATTTAATATATTTAATATATTTAATATATTTAATATATTTAATATATTTAACATATCATATACGATGACAATACTATATATGATGATAAGGATTCATAAGGTGTATAATTAATAACATATATCGCCATTTTTATAGGTGGGATTTCAACCATGCCCAAATGGCTGGTTTATTATTATTGTTTTGCCCACATTCACTAGTTCATAATCCATTAACCCATATTAACCAGGTGATGCTCGATATATCTATCACGAACAAAAGAATTCACCTAGTGTTTATTCACATTAATAAATATATAAGCAAACTGTCGGTCCATCCATGGAATTATATCCGGCTGGTTCCCAGGAGCTGTCCAAGCCGCGCGGGCGTTTCGTCCTTGGTGGAAGACACTGTGGGAGGCGCGGAGGGGGCGTACTAAGTGTGGGTTATGAATGCAAGTTACAACAGGTATGTTATCAGAATAGTGGTTGATATAGTCTAATAGTGGTCATTTTTTTGTAGTGATTATAGTGGTCATAGTACTTGTTCTTATAGTTATAGGATGATATCATATGCATAAATGGATATATCCCACCATATCCCACCCCCCAAAAAAAGCAGGGTTGGAGCTCAGCCGGAAAATCATCAAAGATCTTTCCTCAAACTCTGGCAGTTTTCAGGAGGGTACCCTCTGGCAAACTAACATACCCATGGAAATTCACAATTTTTAATGGGTAAATCGACTAACTACAAATCACCATTTTCAAGAGCTATGTTAGTCATTACCAGAGGGTAGTTCCAGCAAACATGAATCAAAGATTGGGGCACTTGGAAGTCCGGCAATGGTTGAATGGTTGTAACAGCAAAAGAGGCAGGAGATTCTACCAGCGATGCAACCTGGGATTCACCAGGAACCTTTCCATACCTGGTCATCAAACATGGCTGGAATAGCACCCATTGATTTCGATACACTTTTCCCAGAAAAAACCCAAAGTATCGAGGATTCTCAATCGCCATGTTTAAGGACCACAGGTTTTTCATCAAACCACGTTCCTGGAATCGAAGCCGCCAGGTGACTCCCAGACAGCGGATCTACAGATGTGCCCGGCTGTGGGGGATCAAACAAACAAGGGGGGGTCAAAAAAACAAGGTGCCCTAAAAAATGTATATATATATTTATAATTCTATGGGACAACCATTGAACATCATTGAGTTCTAAATGTCTGTAAATTTTATACATGGTGCCTTTTCCATCCATTTTGGTGACCAGAAGGAAGGGATTAACCTCTGGAAAGCTTTAAAAACGCTATGGAATATGGAGGTGAAAGTAGATACATAACTGGTTGGTGGTTTGGAACATGAAGTTTATGACTTTCCATTCAGTTGGGAATTTCATCATCCCAACTGACGAACTCATATTTTTCAGAGGTTGGTGAACCACCATCCAGATAAAGTACCTATGATGAATTCTAGTTTTTCATGGCTATGTTGGTGGCTACCGGAGGCTATGGCATTGAAATCATTGAGCAAATGCTCCATGACTTACACTATAATTGTCTCAAGAATTATGGGAAAACCATGGAAATTTGATTTCATCTTACTGGTGCTAAACGTAGGGAATGGATGGGTTGCTGGGGGTTGCTGGGATTATGAAATTGCTAGTTAGCCAGTGGATCATTCCCGAAAATTCCCTACGTAAAACGCGCCAATAAGTCATTTTGGGACGCACCCAGTTGTGACATTTTTTCAAAAAACCCAGGTTCTGATTGCGATGTACCCAGCTGTTCTTTGATGGTCCTTTTTTGGTACCCTTTTTGGGTACAAAAAAAGGTACATTTTTTTAAAGCGGGTATCTCCATGTTCAGACGCACATCGGATGTTGTTAGTTACCCTCTGGTTATGACTAACATAGTCATGGAACATGGTTCATTTATAGATGGTTTACCGTTCTTAAAACCTCCA